CACATCACGCCAGCTACGGCGTCTGGACTCTGTCACCAGGTCTCCCATCTACTCCCACTTTGGTGAGACGGTATCAGGCCTGTCTGTGAGCCGGGCATATGGACACCAAGAGCGGTTCCTGCAGCAGAATGAGAACACTGTGGACATCAACCAGAAAAGTGTTTATTCCTGGATAGTCTCCAATAGGCGAGTTTGCTCCTGCTACCCTGGCGCAGCCTGACACACCTCTGCCCAGGGGCTCCTGGATGCTGAGGGAGGTCCCTCAGAAGCTCAAGTTCTCCCTGTTGACCTCAGGACAGGCTATGAGGGTCTGGATAGGAATAGGGAAGTTTGGGAGAGTGCCACAGTCTGTGGGAAGGAGATGTTTTAGGGTAATTTGGAATGCTAGAGTACAGGCCTCTGGAAAAAGTCCAGGGCCTGGGCAAGGCAAGCTACACTGTTGAGGGCTGAGATGCTCTTGGTGGTTTCTGGGAAGAGGCCGACGCTCTAGGCCAGCACAATGGGGTCACTCTCTGGTTGTTGGTGTGTTACTGAGTAGATGCTTTGGGTGGAAGAGGTTTGTACCATTTGGGACTCCTTTGATACGTGCTGTTACCAGCACAGGAGGTTACATGTGAGACACAGGGATTGACTAGAAGGCCAATCAAGCAGGAGCTGGAAGCACGGGACATATAGAACATATAGGGTGACATATAGAACAGATCTCAAAAAAGGACGTGGAGGGAGAATAGGGACAGGCATAGACACAACAGCAGTACGGAGGTGGTTCACCTGAGGAGTGGCAAGGGGATAAGTTAATGGGAACCACAAGCGTGAGAGGGTTGTTTGGATGAGACGCTGCAAGGTGACTGAAGGGGACTTGATCAGGAGAGATGGGGATGGAGGAGTGTCCCAGAGCAAGGAGTATTGGGATGATTCAGGGAGAAGCACAGAACTGTTTTAACATCATCTTGACAGATAAAATGGAACTGCTTGCAGAACTGGCTACAAATCACCTGCTGCATAGGTGCAGGTACCATGTGTACAGTGCTGAGGTGTGGGCTAGTTACCCAGGGATGCTAGTGTGATGCTGGTCTCACTGGTGGTTGCTCCTGATGCCCATAAAGGGTGACGCTGGCTCCCTGTGTTGGGTGCAGGTAGACACCTCTCCTACCACCTCTCACAGCCATGCTTTCTTGCTGCAGGTGGCTGGCCATCCGTCTGGAGTTGGTTGGGAACCTGGTTGTCTTCTTTTCTGCGCTTCTAGCTGTGATTTCAAAGGGCACTTTGGAGGGTGGCATTGTGGGTCTTTCCATCTCCTCCGCCCTCAACGTGAGTCAGCAAAAGCTTTTCTTGCAGGGCAGGGCTGTCTGGGAGCAGCACTCTGATGCCTCTGGGCTGGCTGCAGGATGCTGCATCCAGCTCTGAAATACAGAGTGGGGATCAGCTGGGACCATCCCTGGTGGGGAGGGGAATCACCTCAGAAGCTGGTATGGAGCTGAGGGAGAATGCATCCCACTATGAAGGGGTGACTGCTGCTGTGGGGAGGAGCACATTGTCTCTGCCTCAGATGCTGCAGCAAAGCTTTTGAAGGGCTGGGGAAAGGGGGTGCTGGTCGGTGAGTGGGGAGTTATGGGCCAGGCCAAGGATGCTCGTGGCCAGGTTGAGTACTTGAGCTGAGGAGGGACAGCTGGTTTTACCTGGGTCTCACTGAGCTTTGCATCCTCTGGCTCTGCCATGCAGGTGACCCAGACACTGAACTGGCTGGTGCGGATGACATCAGAGCTGGAAACAAACATTGTGGCTGTGGAGCGGATACATGAGTATACGAAGGTGAAGAATGAGGTGAGGAGATCGGGAGCCAGGCAAACGCCTGCTGCACAGCTCAGTGCTAGCCAGCCTTGCAGGGCACAGCCCTCTAACGCTCTTGTGCCCCTAGGCTCCATGGGTGACAGAGAAACGCCCACCCCGTGGCTGGCCCAGCAAAGGTGAGATCCAGTTCATTGACTATAAAGTTCGTTACCGACCTGAACTGGAGCTGGTTCTTCAAGGGATTACCTGCGATATTGGGAGCACCGAGAAGGTGAGGACCTCTCAGCCTGTGCCCTCGCCACACCCCTTCCCTAGCAATACTATGTTGAAGGTGTTTCTGTCGTCTTAGCTTCTGGCTGCTGACTGGGGAGGGATGGTGATGTGGATGTGACTCCTAGGGACTCCCAAGCTGCAGGGCAGGGACCAAGGGAGACAACCTGAGAGATGGTGATTGCAGATGCTTGCTCCCATCCCTGGTATGCTGACAGTCTGAGGTTGAACCTGCACAAGTCCTAGAGCTGGAGGAAATGAGGTTCATAGCTGCAGCCAGCACAGGCTCTCTGGCAGCCCATGGTGGAGATGAGCCAGCAGTGTTGCCAGAGGGACAGCACAGAGGAGCAGCATGCGGGGAGATGGGCCCTTGGGCAGCAGGGTGTGGTGCTGGTGGGCTGCGGGGTGGAGCTGGCTCAACATACTTTCCCATAAGGATGGAGGGAGCCAGCAGAAGGCAAAAGGGGCATGTATGGGGAGCATGGGCCAGGAAGTCCCACCAGCCCAAGACAGAGAGCATCTGCCCTGTTTTCTTCAGTCCTGCCAGCTGGTCTAAATAGCTCCTTCCACAGATTGGGGTTGTGGGCCGGACTGGGGCTGGGAAATCCTCCCTCACCAACTGCCTCTTCCGGGTGCTGGAGGCTGCTGGAGGGAAGATCATCATCGATGGCTTGGATATCGCGACAATTGGCCTCCATGACCTGCGCCAGAACCTCACAATCATCCCCCAGGTGAGACAATTCCAACCTCCCCACATCCCACTGCTGTGTGGCCTCTCCAGGCTCCTGGGGCCATGCATCACCCAGAGCGCAACCCTGGGTCTTGCAGAAAGCCCAAGAGCCCATGAGCTTGCCATTGCCACCTCCCCTGCCCAGGCAGAGTAGCAGGACCAGCAGGCTGCGGCCAAACATGGGGGCATGCAGCAGCCATGGGGCTGCCACCCCTGCTGAGTGGCCACGCTTGGCATGGAGGAACACGCTGTGCTGTCCCTGGCAGGACCCCGTGCTTTTCTCCGGGACCCTACGGATGAACCTGGACCCTTTTGACCAGTACTCAGACGAGGAAGTCTGGAAGGCCCTTGAGCTGGCCCACCTGAAGACATATGTGCAAGACCTGCCCGAGGGGCTGCTTCATCTTGTGAGTGAAGGAGGAGAGAACCTGAGGTGAGCAGGGGAGCTGGGATCTGCCCAGCTCCCATCCCTTCCTTTGGCCCCAACAAAAAGGCTAAAATGGCCATGGTGGTGAGAAGGGGCCTCAGAACAGCCTTGAAAGGCAACCCTGAAGCAGAGCAGCTGTCAAGGGACAAGCACAGAAGCTTCTGGGACTGAATGTGAGTGAAAGAAATTGTCCAGGAGTCAGGGCTGGTCCTCACTGCATGGAGGCCAGCATAAGCCAACCTTTCACTGGTGGTCCAGCGAGCGGGACATGGGGACGTGGTGCTCGGGGTGGCAAATCAATAGCTGAGTTGAGGATGGAGGGGCAGAAACGGAGCTGGAGGACAGGGCAGGGTGTGGGAGCTGGACCTGCAGCCACCCTGCTGGTGCTCAGCACCTCGTTTGCTTACTAACTCATGTTCCCCACCTTATTGCAGTGTCGGGCAGAGGCAGCTCGTGTGCCTGGCCCGGGCCCTTCTCCGCAAAGCCAAGATCCTCATCCTGGATGAGGCAACAGCAGCTGTGGATCTGGAAACTGATCATTTAATCCAGACAACAATCCGGAGCGAGTTTGCTAACTGCACTGTCCTTACCATCGCCCACCGCCTCCACACCATCATGGATAGCAACAGGTAGGGTGAACGGGCCTCTGGACTCCTGGGATGGGGCAAGAGGTGGCTCACAGCAGAAGGAAGGATGCAGCCAGAGAGCAGGAGTGGGTGCAATGCCAAGGAAAGCAATATGTAGAGCTGCTGGGGCAGCAGAATAGAGCAGGGGAAGGACAGCCAGGCATTACTTAGGCCTTTGTGGGGAGAAACATATTATTGGGATCCTGTTTCTTGTAAAAAGCCATAGAGTAGTTGACAGCCTTGGCCAGGAGCTAAAGAGGTTGGGTCCTCATCTCTCCACTGGGGGCTGAAACACATAAGAGGGCTGTAAGAGCGAGTGTGGTGGCAGGGGCTGTAGGGCTGGAGGTGGCAGCACTGGCGGCTCAGATCCCTGGAGCTCACATGTTCTCATTCCCTGCTGGCAGGGTGATGGTGCTGCAGGCAGGGAGGATAGTGGAGTACGACAGCCCCGAGGAGCTGCTTCAGAAAGAGGGCCTCTTCTCTGCGATGGCAAAGGATGCCGGCGTTATTAATGCACAAACCACTGTCCTGTAGCTGGAGTGGTGCAGTGTGCAGCGTGCAGTCACACAGCTCTCTCCTGCTGGGACTCACCGAGCAGGTGCCTGGATCTCCCTGCAGCTGGCCTGCCCAGGAATTTGTCTCTGCAGCCGGGAAGCAAAGGGGAGAGGGTGGCTTCCCTGGCTATCAGGGATATGGACCCAAGTGAGCTGTTAACCTAGCTACTACACCCTGCCTGCTGTGCATGAGGGCCTGCAACTGTGCAGGGATATGGACCAAAGTGAGCTGTTAACCTAGCTACTACACCCTGCCTGCTGTGCATGAGGGCCTGCAACTGTGTAATTTATTCCAGTACAGAGGGGAAAGTCATCCATCAGATGGAGAGACAGTGGTCCCCTTGGGATCTTAGTTTTTCTACCAGGCAAGGGGAACCTAGCTGAGAGATGCTGTAGCACTATGGAATGAAATGTACATTTTAATCTAGGCGTGAATGTTATAATTTATTTCCTTTTTGTAAATGTTTCTTTCCAATTAAAAGTCTGACTTTAGGCATGCTAAATAAGCCTCAGTTTAGCTTTAAAACCTATCCAGTGTTGGGAGGAATGCGATACACTGAGTTTACACAGACACACAAGGCTAGAGAGGCCAAATCAAGTGGCGCAGGCATGCCTGAGCCTCTGCCCCCACCATGAACATAACGGCTCAAGTGCATGGCTCTGTGAATGCCCAACACTCACAGCCAGAATCCCTCACTGCAAGGGTCCTACAGAAAACAGAAGGGATCTTATTGTCACCCCTGGACCTGAGGTGAGCCCCAGATCCACACTGCTGTAGGCACAGAGAGACCCATGCCCCAGATGGCAGCTTTTTTGTGTGCAACAAAGAATCCACCCCCTCATTACACTATTGTGCCAGCAAAAAATGTTCATAGGGCTACAAGATTTGGGGAGGGGGGAGGGGTAAAGGTGTTCACCAGCAGGGGAGGTGGAAAAGCCAGGAGCTGGGGGCCTAGCTGTTTTCTTTATGGCTGTATCTGCCTTTGAGTGTGCTGCAAATAACTGAGGCAGTCCTTGGGGCTCAGCTCTGACCACCATAACCACAACTTGGGTAGATTTTGGGCTGCGGTGCCAGACTACAAACCTGACTGTGGTGCAGACACATGTTCACACTACACCAACACCCACACCCACCCAGACAAAGTCTTGGTCCTTCTCTGTTCCTGGGCCTCCAAGCCAGGGGGCTGCAGCACAGCTGTTGGCCCTGGCTCAGCATGCAAGAAGCCTATGCTAGCAGGCACACCACCTACCCACACAGGCATTTACAGCAGAGCAAAACCCTTCACTGTAGCTGGTGACAAGAGGGACACAAGCCAGCCCCAGCTGTAGCATTTAATACAGTGCCTGGAGAGAGGGCTGTGCAATAGCTCTATAAGGATTAGTCTGGTGAAGGTTTCCTAGTGCCTGAGCTGCAGCTGGCACAAGCTGCCAGAGCACAAGCGTGCTGAACCCTATGGAACAGTAAGTGCCCTCCCCAGCCCCTGCAGGGTCCACATTAAGTCTGTAGGCTCTGCCAGGCACTCTGTCCCTTTTTCTGATGTTTGCACAGGCACTTCCTTTACACAAGGGCAAATCTTTATTTACAGAGCAGCAGCGCCGGGGATGCAAACACTCCCACCCTGAAGAGAAGGGAGCAACCCTCCCCCAGGGCATGGCAGCAGTGGGTAAGACGTGCTGCCCCATGCTGGGGTGGTAGCTCTCCTGAGGAGAGCCTTGCCCCCCAGAGCCCTGCAGCAAGCACAGGCACGGCTGAATCCTGGTCCAAGCCCGAACAAAATCAGGCTGCAGGACAGAGCCTGCTCTTTGCCTTCTACCCTGCCCCAGCCGAGACTAGCCACGTGGGCCTGCCAGTGCAGATGGGTCTTGGGGACGTACTGGCGATGATGCAGTGACAAAGGAAGATGGGGTTAGGGCCTTAGGCTCATCAGGGAGACAGGAACCCAACAGCTGCTGCTAGCAGCAGAGCCTGGAAAGACCCAAACCCCTGGGAGCCCAAGCAGCCAAACGCAATATGTCGGGGAGCTCTGCTGTAGGCTTTCTTGGCTGCTGGGGCTGCCTGCCCTGGAGCTGAACTACTCACAGCAAGCCTCAGAGCCACTTCTCTGGGCAGAGCAGAATTGTTCAACCCTGACGTCCTGCAAAGACAGGCTCACCTGGGCTCCTGCTGCTGCTGAGACGGCCACAGGGAGCCTGTTTACAGGGCCCAAGTTTCTTTTAACACTATTTAGCTAAAGGCAGACTCTAGAAACTCAGCAGTAGACGGCTACACATTAAATCCATAGCAGCTCTTTGGCCTTAGTGAAGCTATTTCCTCCTGGGCCATGGCCCCACGCTATGCTCACCTGCTACAAGCTGCACGCAGGAGGAACGAGCAGCCCAAGGTGACGGCAACTTGCCCCTGCTCTTGCACAAGCTGCCTGTCCCCTGCCTGTCCTGCCAGCCCACCCTTCCCACTCCCCATGGCAGCCAGCGTGGCAGGGCTTGGGAGTGCTGCGCGGCTGCGAGGGATGCAGCTTCAGCCCCTTGGGGCGAGCAGGGCAGGCTGCACTGCCGAGCAGGGCCGGTGAGTCTCCCTGAGCCCCAATGCTCCCAGCAGGAACAAGGCACAGGGTGCAGGCTTCTCCCCTTCGCCTCACGTGTACTCTGTCTTTCGGATGTAACTGGAGGGCACGTAGCCTTGCTTCCCGTGCACCTCAGCCAGCCACCACTCTCGATTGCCTGTGATGTCCTCAAACTGCAGGATCCTGAGTCTCTGGTTAGCTGACACACTCAATTCGTTGGCGTTTCGGCCTTTGAAAGTGTAGAGAGCGTAATAGACCTGTTGGGCAGAGGGACAGCATGTGTCAGATGGCTGGTGCAGCTCAAAACACTCAGCAGGGCCTTCCTGCTGCACCACCCAGGACGCATGAACAGTACTCCTCAGAAAACCAAGGCACAGGACTGGACTTTGGCTCCTTTACCCCAACAGAGACAGCCCCAACCCTCATCTTGGCCTCTGCCAGAGCCAGCTCAAATTGCCTCCGTCAGGAGAGATGCCTGTTCGCATCCTCGTTTTTTGCATCTGCACATCCGTCCCTGGGAGAAATGGTGCCATCCTCTGCGTCAGCCCCTTGGGACACCTCTTACCGACAACTCTCAGGGAGGAGGATAGTTCAGGCTCCCTACTCAAGCGAGAGGTTCAGCCCTCAGCCACCCCAAAGCCCCCTGTTCGGCTGAGGGCTCACCTGGTTGCCCTCTGACTCGCTGCTCTCCAGCCCAGAGTCTCTGTCCTCCATTGAGAGTGCAGGCCTGAGATGTGCCTTGGTGGAGTGTCCATTGCGAGGGTTGGGGCCACAGCCTGGCTCAGGGCGGCTGTGGCGGGGGGGAGATGACACTGTACTGGCCTCCAGGGGGGCTGTCCTGTCACTGGAGCCAAGCTGGGGCTGACAAGGGGAGTCCATCTCCGAGGGGGCCTGCGAGGACTGGTACAGGTCTCCTGGGGAGGTAGAGTCCTGCAGGGATTTCTGAGTGAAGGTCACGGCTGCCCCGCTGGGGCTGAAGGTCAGTGTGGTGTTGCTGTGGGGAGAGGAGCTGCTGTGCTCAGACTCGTTGGAAGAGTGGCTGCCCACAGAGACATCCGACTGGCTGCGACGCGGGTTGTAGGGCTTCAGAAAGGAGCTGTACACAAAGCCTTTGGTCACTGCACAGAGGGAGAAGAAGGGAGCTGAGATCAGGGAGCAGCAAAGACCACAGGAGGGGAGGCGCAGCACAGCCAGAGCCCCTAGCCCCCAGCCGATGGCAGTGAGGGTCCTGCCCTTGGGGCCAGCAGGCCAGGGCCACCTACCCCCGTTGTCTATGAGCCAGCGATTCTGGCTGCCCATAGGGTCTTTCTTCTTGATGACACCCACAATGTCTCCCTCCATCAGTGAGACATCCAGGTCTTGGGCAGCATTGAAATTGCGGTCTGCCTGGAAGAGATTGTCTGGGGGATACCGGGCCAGGAGGGCAGCTCGGATGTCATCCGACTGCAGGAGGTAGCTGGGCTGGAAAGGAACAAGGCACACGTGAAGGGTTGTCCCAGCTCCCCAGCAAGCCCTGACATGAGGCAGAGGGGACTCACCAAGCCAATGAGCGGCTGGCGCCGGGCCGAAAAAAAAAAAGGTGAAGGCCTGGAGCTGCTGGAGGACTCGACTGTGCTCTTCCTGGAAGATGGCAATGAGGTTCCCCTCCCTACCGGCCACCTTCAGCAACTGGAATCAGAACAAGGTTGGGGTCACAGTTAGGTGACAGCCACTGGGAAAAGTAGCGGAGAACTATGGCAGAGACCACGCCAGCTCCCAGGCCAAGCAGGGGTCTGAGCCCTGCCTGTGACTTGAATCAGGGCTGGATTTGCAGCACTGTCAGCACCCAGCTCTGAGTGATTCCCAAACTCATGCCCCAAGATTCTCCCAGGCAAATGTCACCCTGCCCCTGCTCCGGGAGCAGCCAGAGTATGAGTCTCATCTCCAGCATCTCTAAACAGAACTGCATCTTGACCAGGCAATCCCTGCCTGCAAGCAGTACACAAGAGCCCTCCCCAAGGCACTCAGAGACTGAAATTGCAGCACTAGCAGCTTCTGCAATGGGATGGATCCCAGAGCAGTGCTGCAGTGAGTCCCACACACTGGCTGTGCTCTGGGAACCCACCGACAACAGGGGTCTCAACTCCTCCAGGGCCAGGCGCACAAAGTCACAGTGAGCCTCAGCATAGCCCCGCACGCAGCTGGCAAACAGCTCCTTAGCGAAGCGCTGGAACTTGGGCAGCTCATCCAGCAACTGGGCGTTCAGGGCCTCATAGTTGTTGCGGGCCGACTGCAGCTCCTCCAGCGTTCGTTTGTCCTTCAGCTTCTCCGCTCGCTCTGTGCAGTTGTGGAAGTCGAGGAGCTTGTCGAAGCGCTTCTGCACGAGCTTGTGCGGCCCCGTAAACATGCTCAGCAGCTGGTTCAGAGGCGAGCTCACCAGCCGCTCTGTCCGCTCTTTCTGGTGGACAGAGATGCAGGGAGCAGGTGAAATGAGGTGCTCCAGACTTCACCTCTCCCCTTCCATGCCACAAATACCCACAGCTCACCCTCTGGCACACAAGACTCCTGGGACAGCATAGGGTCCTTCTTCCACATAGCACCCATCAGAGCTCCAGAGGTCCCTTCCCACATCTATCACTCTGTAATCCCATGTAAATGTGTCAGCATGGGCAACCCTCTAGGAGGGATGTAAACCACTCACACAGGGGGCTATGCCCCTTCAGGTAGGGCTGAAAAAATGTGTACCTAACAGGCATGCTCAATGCACTGCACAAGCCCACAGGCATCAAAGCTCTCAGGAAGGGAAGAGCCGAATGGAGGTGCTCACACCTCTCCCAGGCTGTGCCACCATCCCTGCAGCACCCCATGGGCAACAGGGCTCTTCTGCCTGTCCACACCTAGACCTGCAGGGAGGGCCCCCGAGCAGAGCCTCCAGTGCACAAGGGCACAGGTTCACTCACAAAGTTGGAGAAGAGCTGGTCACTGATGAGCCGATTCACTTTCTGGAACTGGTCCAAGTCCCCACCGCCCTTCTCCGTGCACAGGTCCCACATGCTCACCGCTGCCAGCGCCTTCATGCAGGCCGACTCCTGCGCCAGGGACACACAGTCAGCACAGCCACGCTTGGTGCCCAGAAGAGGCCTCCCAGCACAGGCCCACGCTCCCAGGGGCAGCAGGAGGACCTCCCCGGGACAGCCCAGAGCCGGGCTGTGGGCAGGAGCACTGGCAGGTGCGCACCATGCAGGCTGGAGTGGCAATACACAGCAAGCCCCAAGGGCATCACACCCAGATAGACTCACCCGAACATGCTGCAGGTACAGGGAAAGGTCCCGGATGAAGGACTTGATCAGCCGCTCCTGCATTCGGAAATTTTTCTCCGTCTCCTCGAAGGCCTCATCTTTCAGCTGTAAGAGAAAATGGCTCAAGGGAGGCAATGCAGAATGCTGGCATCTCCCAGAGTGTGAGATGGGGGGGGGCCTCCCACCCACAAGCAAAAGAGCAGAGTCGGGTGTCTCAGACCCCAGGCTGCCTTGGATCTGAAATACTTGTCAGGGAAGGGGTGGGGAGGCAGTGGGTACTGCCATCTTCCCAAGCACCACAGGGTGTAAGTGCCCCTGGCATGTGATGCATGTTACCTGGGGGGCAAAGCCTGTGAGATGCTTGAGATGGCTGCTCACGCGATTGGATTTCTTGATGATGGAATGGAAGTTGAGCTTGGAGATCTTCTCCATGAGGCTATCCTCATCCCCTTTCCGGTACTTTAGCACTAAAGAGATTGACGTAGGAATCAGAACCCTTACCAGCCCAATGCCTGTGTCTTTTGGTGCTTCAACAAAAAGTGCCTTGCTGAGTCTCTCCTCCCCATTCTTCCTAAGCCTCTGCAGTCCCAAGTGCCCCGTGCATCATATCACATCTGCAATCCAGCACTGTGCTTGCCACCTGTAATGCTCCTGCTTAGCCCTGGATCTGCCCTGCCGTTTGTAGACCCACCGTTCAAACTCTTTCGGCAGGAATATGTGTAGCATTAGCATAAGATAACATAGGAGGTGGCATAAAATAACCATTGGACGTACAAAAGATATTTATATAATTTGTTTAGCAAGTATGAGTAACCGTTACAGACAACCTACGTCATCTCAGCTTTTGTGGGGCTACATGGAAAGAGTGAAGCAAGAGACAAAGAGTCAGGGCCTTCCAAGGGGAAAGAGAGGATGATGGCGAGCAGGTCAAAGGAAATCATGTTTTCCCTCCATTCAGTCCTGGGGAGGCTGCACCTGGATCATTTGTCTCTGATCGGCCAGGTCAAGAGGGATGCGGAAGAATAAGAGCTACAAGAAGAGCTCATGTCTGGTAATGAGCTGGAGGGAGCTGAGCTGCCTCAGCCTGACTGAGAGGAGGTCAAGCGGGGACCTGCTCACAGCATACAGCTACTTTAGAAGGGCAGCTACAAAGATGATGGAGCCAAACTCCTCTCAGCAGTGCAATACAAGGCAGCGGCAGCCTCGGAGGTTGAGGGTGGACATAGCAAGCACCTGTTCCCTGGGAGAGTGGGACCACTGGAGGGTGATACAGGCCTAGGACAAGTCAACAAACTGTGAAATCTCCATCCTTGGAGGTCAGTGATACTTGGCTGGAGAGAGCAATGGCTGATCAGATCTAGTGCTGGGGATAATGCTGCTACAAGCGGGAGGTTGGATTGGAGATCCTAGAGGGCCCTTCCAGGCAGCATGTCTACGATTCTGCCCTGTTTACAGACACTCCTTCAAGCTATTAGACTCTAAATCTCAGTAAGACAGATTCCCTATTTGTGTTCTTCAAAATAGCAATTCTTAACTTTCAATATTTATTCTTTTAACTTTTTTGTTTTCATTTGGTAGGCACATGATCAGCAATTCCATACATTTCATATCACTATATCACAAGAAAGTCATGTCATATCTGTACTGCGTTGCTCTTTGTGTACTGTATCTCATAACTTAGATTTTTAAATGCACCTCTTAATATACTGCCGTGAAGGCACAGTCTATTGAGGGCAGGTTCCCTGTACTATTGTGGATGCCAGCTAATGCTCTGGGAACTGACAGACTCCAATTTCAATACACCCATTCCTGTCCCTCGCTACCCAGCTGTACCCAGCTACTCACCCAGGTCTTTCCGGCGCTTGTATTCATTGATGTTGACATTAATTTCTTTGACTGCGAGGACAGCAGCTGTGAGCGGCACCTTGTCAGGGTGAGACTCAGGAGTGGCGCTTAGCAACTCCATCAGCAGCAGCGGGTACCGCATCACCCTTTGCACTGGCTTGATGAGGAACGAGCCCAGGTTAATGTAGTTTGTGCAGCCCCTAGGAAGTTGGGACAAAGGAGATGCACCAGGTTTCAATCCAACTCTGCAGAACAATTCTTGCCCTCTTAAACCAACCCCAACCAGACCCAGAGCACCAACATCTCTAACTTCCTAAATCACTGCACCCTCATCTCAAAACCTGTTGCACAGAACCCACCAACACCTCAAGCCAGCCCAGGCTTTCCAGACCTTTCTCACACCAAATAACCCTTTCTAGCCATGCTGCCCCTGGTCTCACCATGAAATCCCACAAGGACACATCCTCAAGCTTACCAGAGCTCTGCTCGCCTCAGCCTCCGTCCCACCACTCTGGCTGTATATGCATAGCCTCGATCTGACCCGCAGTGCAGGACAGACTGACTATGCTCAGGACTGCAGCCTGTACACAGCTAGGGGCTGATGGCTCCCCAAATTTGTCTTCTGCCCAAGACCCCCATCTTGACTCAGCATCTGCCTGTACTTCCTGCCTGTGTAGCCCATCTATTGCCTGTTGCAATCCCATCCACAGATGCTGCACTCCTCCTTGGCTCCACAAGGTACTGTTAAGGTCCCCAGACATGCATGCAGCCAGTGGTGAGAGAAAGTTAGTTACAGAGGGGCAGCCAGGCCAAGACAGACAGGCAAGCTGGGACCAACAGGAATGAGACACTTACCACTCACTGTACAGGCTCCTGCCGGCCCACAGAGTGCCAAAAAGCAAAGAAAAGGAACTGGTTAACAGGGCGACAGGCGTGCAATCCCGCAGCCAGTGCCTTCACCCCATGTTGCTGCGACACTGCCAATGCAGCAGGCAGCGCTGTTCCAGAGCAGCAGCTGGTGCCGCCAGCTCCTGGACACTAACCTCCACAAGCTGGGGCTGTGGTGTTTGCTGAACCAGGCAAAGTGGCTCATTTCCTCACTCACTGCAGTGTAACAGGGCTTGGGGAATATGAACCCTTGACCCAGGACACACTACCTTTTCCATACTCAGTGGCTTCTGCCCAGCATTTAAGGCAGGCTACAGCTGTCCCAGCACCTATGCACTGGGGCAGAGAGCATCACTCAAGCAAGGCCCCTTCCTCCTGTTCACCTTTGCAATGCCACATGGGAAACACAGCCTGCCACTCTCCTGCTACCACCTGAACTGAGTACTGCTGGCAAAGAGGCAGGGATGCTGGAGACTGAACCCCCAACCCCAGCCTGGCCAGAGGCTCCAACCTGAGGCTATCCAGCAAGTTCAGGAGTAGTTTCTGAATCTTCTCATCCTTCTCATAGGTTTCCAAAAGTGCGATGGCCTCATCATGGTTCTGGCAATACACCCTGTAGATGGCCTCCAGCTCTGCACGCCGTGCCAGGAACACTGGCCCTGCACAGAGCAGCAAAGAGAGACTTCAGTGTCTCCCGGTCCCCCGATTGCCTTCAATAACCCCAGTGTATCCCACAGAGATGCCCAGGGTCCCCCTCCCTCCTGTCAAGAGGACAGTGTTGTTAGAGCACTTGGGATCCCTCTTAATCTCCTTCAGCACACCAACACATCCTTCATGCTTCCCTGTAGCCACAGGCCAGTCAGGACAGAAAGTTGGAAGCTGTTCATCAAGACTCTGCTGGCTGAAGCCAAGGGCACGTCATGGTAACTCACCAGGACATGTTCACTCATGTTTTGAGGGGACTGTTTACCTAGTCAAGGGGTCCCACATGGATCCTGAGAGCCACCAGCACAGCAACCTCAATTAATCCAGCTCTCTGAGGCGTGAGGAGCAAGGAAACTGGTTTTGGCAGTGTGAGCAGGGAGCCACGCAGAAAGCAAAGGCACAGTCTGCCCATGGTCTGAACAGCAAAAGCTGGCAGCCCAGATGTGAGGGAATGGGCATCCCCTTGGAGCAATGAGCCAGGGAGGGCCACAGACACCACATTTCCCAGCACAGAGACCCGTGGGGCAACAGAGATCTCCATGGCCTTGTTGCTGGACTGATAAGCTCCAACACGGACCAGCAGGGAGGAAACACTGTCCTGGACTCAATCCCAGTGACCCTCTCCCACCATTTAAACCACTCTGCTCCTCTCCACCCCACTTGCAAAACCTGTCACAGCCTGCTGAGAAGAAACAACAGCAGAATTCATACCGATGGCATCAGAAGCCTCCAAGGTGGCCAGCAGCTGCTTGGAGAAGGTAATTACCATCTGGATGTTTCCAAAAAGACCCTCAAAGTCTATATTTGGCATCTAGGAAATGGGAAGAGAGATATCCTGGATAGGAGAATATGTCCCACCAGCACCAACAGCTGTCCCCTTGCCTTCCTGCAACCCACCCGCCCTCTGTTCCTCAGCAGCCACCCGGTGTGACCTGCTCCCATCACAGTGGTTTTGTGCTCATTTTCTTGCTCCCCCGTGCATTGAAACCCTCACTCCTTATGCGTTTCACCAAACACTGTCACTGATGCGTCTCCCCTTTCCCCGGCAATTTCATCCCTGCCTCTCATGACCTGATACTCTCCCTCTCCTCCCACCAGCTCTGCTCTCATGCCAAGACTCCATATTTTCTTTCTCCTGACAACGAACTTAACCTCAAACAAATGAAGAGGAACAACATCTCCCACCCTAGCAAATGAATGTGCTATACTTGCTGCCAGTTATCTGCAACAGGCTCCCAAAAGAGATGGAATATTCCCATGGGTGCAGGGAGCAGCCAGAGCCACAGGCACCTGAAGGAATTTACCCTCCTGCTCCCCCAGGTGTAACTGAATTTCCCATGTGGGTTTCAATGCCATTTTTAACCACCTTCACCAACAAAGTGGACTCAGTATCCTCATCGTATCCTGCCAACCCTACACTGCAACTTGCCCCCACGGCCCTACCTGTGCCTGCTGCAGAGGCACCATGATTCTCTCCACACACATCTCCAGGTCTCGAACATAGTCCCGCTCTGTCTGGAGCAGTTCCTCAATAACCTTGGACCTCTTCTCCAACATCCTTTGCTCTGGGCTCTCAGTGGCAGCCGAGGAAGTCTCCAGGGACGGTGTCTGGGAGGAAAGGAGGGTCATCTCTGCAAGACAGACAGGCAAGATCAGCATCCTCCAGTGACACCTGGCCTAACTCTTGTGTGGCAAGGAGAGGAGACATGTAGCACTGGACCTGTGCCACTCTCAGTCCGTGGGACTGTCAAAAATGATGGCTAGCAAGCAGAGCCAGCAGGACTGTCCTGTCCAAGGACCTTTCTGGAGAGGCCATGCCTGGCTCTCCCTCTCCCTGCTGCACTCTTGCAAGCCCCAGGGGGGCAGGGCTCCGCTCTGCTCCCACAGGCCACCCTCATCCTCCAGCACTCGCAGTACCGTTGCAGTGGGGACCCACAGTGGCGAGTGCTGCAGGGACAGGGACAGCTTGCAGGGGCTGTGCTCCTGCCCTGGGAGCACCAGCTGCCGGGAGTCTGGGGCACCTCCAGCTCCCTTGGCCTTGGGAAAGGGGTAGGGGGTGGCTGTAGCAATCCAAGTATTTCACCAGCCATTAATCACTTCCCTGCTGCTCCTGGCATTAGGGCCCACAGATACCAAGCTGCAGAAACCCACTCTAGGCCTGCAGTTTGTGGACCCAGCACGTCTGCGGACGGCGGGAGGTCAGCCCAGGCCCTGGCAGGGCCAGGGAGCTCAGACATGCTGCTGGCAGCTCAGAGAGGAGAAGGGAGCAGATTCAGCATGTCCCTCCCTGACGCCAGCCAGGCCCTCATGTCCTGGCCGCGGGGACGCGCACCCTTCTACTGCCCTGCGCCCCAAACTCTGCCACCCCAGGAAACCTCCACCCCATGGAGAGGGGCCCTGCTCCCCTCTTCCCTGAGCAGCCGGTGCTACCTACCTGCCCTGCAGGCCTGCGGGCTGGCTATGGCAGAGCTGTCCCCTCCCCTCAGGCTGGGGACAGGGTCTCCATTCTCCATTTCCATCTGAATAGCCAGGGGCCTCCGGCGCCCACAATGGGGCTGGCGGCTGCAGAGCCTGGATCTGGAGCGCCGGCGAGAAGCTCGGCGCTGGCAGAGGGCAGCCTCGCTCCCCCCCAGCAGCACCGGCCTACGCTGGCAGCGAGGGGCTGGTACCTGTGTCCTGTCGCTAGGCCTGAGTCCACCGTAAAGTCCCTGGCTGTGGGAAAAGCACGTGAGGGGGCCGAGCGAGACAGGCTCAAGCCCAAACCGCACACGCAGGGTGCACACACACAGGCGCAGCAAAGCAGAGGTGCAGGGCTGGCTGGACATACCCAACGCGGACGCACGTGCCGCCACGGCATCGGCACGAAGGACCCTGGGGCCCCACTCACGGCACGTGTGCCATGCCTGGGCGGCCGTCCCCCAGCAGCAGCCTCCCTGCGCTACACCTGGCAAACTGCTGGGGTGCAACAAGGGGAGCGGGACGCGCGGTGTGATGCTGCCCTGTAGGCACGGTCTCAGGGTGTGCACACAGCTCGCCCACCACCTCTTCCCTATCCCAGGCCCGGGCAGCTGGTTTTCCTCCTGGTTTTCTGTCCCACCTGCGGCTCTCAGGCCAGCCCAGCCCCCTCCAATTTTCATGCAGTTTCAGAGACATTTTACCCCAGCAGATTCCTGGGCCTCAGCAACTTTCTTCCCCACCTGCCTGCTTTTAAAAGGAGCAGTATGTACCCTCTGGCCAAAAACACACCAACAGCCCACCCTCAAATTCAGCCAGAGAGAGAGAGAGAGAGTGCGAGAGAGTGAGCACAGAGCCCCTCTGCCTGGTCTCCCGGCTCTGCCTGTCTCCCTGGCTTGGAGGCAGGGTCTGGCACGGAAACACTCGCTCTCCTGCCTTTGTATTGCTGCTCTGCAGAACTGGTGCAGCTGGGCCTGGAGCCCTTCAGGCTTTGCTCCCGGCCACTGCATCCCGCCTCACATACGGGCTTCAACACAGATGGCTGATTTGACAAATGCTCATCAACTCCAGCTGTCTCCCACAGATCCCCAGCTGCTCGGCTTCACTGAGATGTTACTGCAGTTGTGGACATACCCCAGCTCAAATATTTGTAAAAATATTTTTGTAGGACAGGCGCTTCCTGCTCGTCACCTCCCTGACCTCTCCAGAGCCAGCCCCAGGCAACGGCGACTCGCTCAGTGCGAAGGGAGCCCGCCTTGCCACCA